CGTAATGTAAATATCTGATATGCAGGATGTATTTTCATTGTTACAAATTGAACATAATTAAAGCATAGTGATTAATCACAAAAACAATATGTAATTATATATGTGTTTTCCGATGGTCTTAGGCAACCCCTGTGAAAGGGTCGTTCGACCCCCAAAGGGGTCGCGACCAACAGGTTGAGAACCGCTGGTCTACACAGTAATGCAGGCCGTCGTCTGTGGCATCGTGGCATGTCCATGATTACAGAAATCTTCCTCTCTCAGGGAGAGAGCGGTGAGATTGTGACCCTGTGGAGGTTAAGGGCATGGACACAGGAGCCAGGCAGCCAGGTCCAGTGTGATCTCTGGCCCCTTTGTGCCTCAGTCTCCTCATCTGTATGACTGGGGGAAATGGCAGCGCCTACCTCACTACCACTTCATACGTGTAAAGGGGTCAGGAAGTACCATAGAGGTGTTTGCTCTTATTCCAGAGTCCCAGAAACTGGGTGCTAATTGGATTAAAATTTTAATATTTGCCCTAGCCAGTTTTCCAGTGGTTAGAGCATCGGCCCACAGACTGAGGGGTCTCGAGTTTAATATGGGCACAGGTAGGAGGCAACCAATCAATGTGTCTCTCTCACATCGATGTTTCTCTCTTTTTCTCTGCCCCTCCCTCCCTTCCACTCTCTCTAAAAATCAATGGGAAAAACATCCTCTGTTGAGGATTAACAAAAAAATGAAAATGTAAGGCTTCTTGTGCGAAGTTGCTGTGTGGAGAGTGGGAAGCTGCCCCTTTGTTTGGGGTCCGAGCCGTGATGGATGAGCATTTAATGGAGCGGCATCTCTCTGGTGTGTGAGTATCTTGTGGTTCCTGTAACTCCCTGTTTATTTTCCCGCCTCCTCCTAGAACAGTGATGGCGAACCTATGACACGCGTGTCAGAGGTGACACGCGAACTCATTTTTTTGGTTGATTTTTCTTTGTTAAATGGCATTTAAATATATAAAATAAATATCAAAAATATGTCTTTGTTTTACTATGGTTGCAAAGATCAAAACATTTCTATATGTGACACGGCACCAGAGTTAAGTTAGGGTTTTTCAAAATGCTGACACGCCGAGCTCTAAAGGTTCGCCATCACTGCCCTAGACTGTGAGTTCCCTGAGGTCAGACTGTGCCCTACAATAACCCCACTGAGTGCGTGTGGAGTGCGTGGCCCGAGGCTGCTCGGTGCTGAGCCCTGCAGTCCTCTCCTGGCTGCTCCCAGCATCCTCAGGGGCGGGTGCTCAGACCTGGGCAAGGCTGAATGGCTCTTTCCCATCTTTCCCACACTTGTCCCATCAACCAATCTCTCAAGGGGGGGTGGGGGCCCTCAGGCCCTCCTGAGATCCGGATCCTGGAGGCCTGGGCGGGGGCCCATGAATTGGCCTTTGTGCCTGATCCTTGCTGCCAAGGCCATGTCTGGGCAACACCAAGTGAACGGTGGCCCCTAAACTTGCTCCTACATCTGCAGCCTCAGGCAGCCCCTCATGCCGGGATGGAGGCCGCGGCTGACCAAGAGGAGGCATGTTAGCATGCAGGGCCTTACCTGGAGCAGAAGGGATGGTGTGTCCGCAGGGCTCCGCCTCCGCCCTCCTAGGATGGGTGTGCGCTGCCTCCAAGGGGACCAGGGCAGGCGGGCATGCCAGTGGCCTCCATGCGAGGTGGCAGC